TTAGAATGACAAAGCACTTGCATATAACAGTTCTCCAATATTTCCCACACGAGCAGTTGCTGTAGTTGCAACACAAAAATGAGAATTGTCATAGTGGATAAGAATGGCTGTGCATGTAAGTTTAAAATCCTATTACACAGTAGCTTCTGTTTAAAGGTTTGGTAGGTGATGGTGGGAAAACCTGTTCCCAGGAGAAGTTTCCTCCTAACTTCAGGTAGAATTTGGTATGAGAGTTGACTTTACACCTTCTTGTATGCATGTGTGTGTTAATATACTAACAGAAAAGGCCCCACTAGACAGTTTTGTTATACAAATCCTTTAAAAAAATCTGTTAAGCATTAAGAGGGATGTTTATATCATTCTGAAGGGGAAGAGAAGTGACTGGAATAAGCACAAATGAGAGAGGAGGAGGCGGTTCACAAAATAACTTGTTCATTACAGTTGTATAAGCCTTATGTGAGGGTAATGCATTTATGCAGATATTACCTGTTGTAAACCACAGGAGAAACTAAAGATGAGAATGTATGTATGGAGTGCACAGAAGGTTACAACTTTATCTAGTATATTGGAGACTCAGCAAGGTCAGGGTTTATCTTGCCTTAATTATTTAAAATTAGCCAGGTGCATTGCAACATTTCTATTGGAAAGGGGTGAGAATTAGTGACCCATGTTCAGAAAATGCAGTATAAATGATTTTTGATAAGGAGATAGGAAAATAAGATCTCTAAATCTGTGATTATATGATCATAAAACTAAAGGCAAATTTGGGAGGACTTAGATCATTTGGGAGAGTGTATCAGCAGATGACTAATGCAAAAAATGTGAATAATTTGGAAAGAGGGAACCAATGTAGGGAATATATGCTAAAAGCTACAGTCAGCCTGAATAATGAACAGAAACGGACTTCCATTATAGAATGCTACTGAACCTTTATGACCTATGTACAAAAGCTATGAAAACAAAAAGGTATTAAGTTATGTTATGTTAGTTGGAAGGAGTAATAGAGAAAAAAGAGGTATTACTATATTAGACTTCCATCCTCCTGCCTTGGAAACTTTGCAGGATTGATCATCAAGTAGCAGGAAGGATATTACTGTCATGGAGAGGGTTAAGAACAGGCCAAAGAACTTTTCTTATGGCATAATTTTACTGCCCTTTCTCTGGTGGATGCTTCTTTTCTTGAATATGTGTAATACTTCCATAAAGAGACGGGAAATGCTCTTTTCATTATGAAAAAAAAATATTTATCATCTGCAGTCTCACTTGGACACTTTATACACCTCACCTCCCGCATTATCATAGTATCAGAATGCTTCTTCATAATAGTTCATTGTAACAGTGCTCAGAACGGAGTCACAAATGAGCTAAGTGACTCATCTAAGGTCATATTAGAAGATTCTGGCAGATCAGGGACTTGGACACAGGTCAGCCAATCCTGAGTCTATGCCCTGAATCACTGCGATATCCTTCACCTCTTGCTAACTCTACTAAAGCAAGCCAGGTGAACAGCATTTCCACCTAAAGTTCTACTTATTTTCATTATTTTCTTTAATACTGGGGAAGTTAGAAAAACAACTTATTCATTTTCTCCAAAGAAGACATCTTCTGCAATTAATATTGCATACCATGTCCCATATTTGGAAAAAAAAATCACTTGTGTCCTGTTTGCTCACATGATATAATTCCATCATAACAATTCCAAAGTGGGGATTCATTCTTTCGTACAAAATCCATGCTCAGCCTAGAATTCTTATATGTGCTCTTATGTTCTTCTGTAGAAAAATAGCTAAACAAAAGCACATGCTAGACCAAACAAATTACAGTAATGATTTTCTCTGGCTTCTTCCGCATTGTTCATTGCTAATAGTGTGCTTATATGCATAAAAGTATATGAATGTTGTCTTATCCCATGGGCAACTGGATAATTATTTTATAATATTTTCCATATCTGTCATTTTTTTTCATTTTGAGCTTTGAACAGTATTCAGGGAAATAATTTTATCCTGAGATTTATTGAAAAAGAGTGAACAAATAATGGTACTTAATTGAGAACATTTGGGAACTGTTCTTGCCTCCCACCTACTTGCATCTCCCTTATAAAATACAAGCTGGGCACAGTGGCACCCCCTGTGCTAGAGGTAATGCAGGATTTCTACCTGTTTAGTGCACACTGGAGAGAGAAATCACAGCCAAGGAAACAGGAGTGGGGTTTGTGGGGTCTTGGAAAGGAGATTGTGGGTTATTTCTTGTCTTTCCTTTCCCAGCAAAGCTAGTGACTGACAGATATGGTGGAGACAAGTGGTATGTGCTACCCTAAAGGGATAGAGTAGGGAACAAAATCTGGCCTCAGCTCTGCTGTGAAAATCTGAGCTGTGCCCATGCAGAACAAAGGGGGAGGGCAATCAGCTTATCTGAGCTGTCAGCACAGATTCATCACCAAACTAGAGAAGAAATCCATCAAAATACAAGCCGTATAAGAGTAAAAATGATTGCTGTTCTGCATGGTGGCCTCGTACATTATTTTTAAGGGTGAAGAGCAGGAGGAGCTGGCACATCAAAAGTTCTGCTTCCAGTAGAGTTCTGCAGCCACCTAACCCATGCACCTCTATGTCAAGTGTCAGAACAATTTATATAATTTTAGAGGCAGAATTTTATAGTGTGTTTTGTAAGTAGCATTTTTCTCTGAATGGTAAATCAACAGATACAGGTCTCCAGGAGAACTGTTGCTCCTGCCAATCAGGCTTCAGATACAGACAATAAATATCAACTGTCATGTGATGGTCACAGTCTGACATGGAAATATGGGATAATTTAGAAGGACTAGACCTCTCATTCAGAAGCTCCCTCTAAATTGAAGTGGAACCCATTTTATGCCTGCCCTAGGTAGGTATACAGAGACTGCCAACTTCTGGGCTATTTGAAGCTTGTAAGCATGTTTTCTTGCCTGTACTTTAGCAAAGAGTATGTCATGGCATACCCACCGGTCAATAAGATATTCTTACTGTGGGCTGATTTTTGTTGTGCTCTGGTGTAACTACTCTGCATTCCAGTGCATTGGTAATGCAGCAGCTACTACAGAATCTGGTCCAGGCTGTTCAACCTGCCAATATTAAATCCTAGATTTCTGTTCTCCATGTAGACAGGACATTGGTGAAGCACATAAGAGACCTTAAGAGGTTTAGCCTTCACCTGATGAATTGTACTTTAAAGTTTGTTCTGTCTGTCTTTTATAAGAGCTGTAGGTGCCAAGCTGGCATTAAGGGAATGGGTGACATGGGCAACTGCTTGCACTCACAGCAGTGCTCTTCCCACTGCCTGATGCAGAAGTGGTGTCCAGCCCGCACCCCCCACTTCCAGCCACTTCTCAGGAGGAGCAGGGCTGGGAAGTGTGGGCGGCAGCACCATGCTGCTCCGCCTTCCTGATGGACAGCACCCTGCACTCGTGCCTGCCTGCAGCAGCACCAGTGACTTGGGGGAGAAACTAGGGGGTGGGGGGTGCCAAAATACCATTTCCCCTATGGCTGGCGCTGTGCAGGTGTCATTTATGTTAAGCTTTTCCTGTTACTTTTGTTATTCTGATGAACTGCAATTCAAGGTCAAGTTAAGCTGTTTTATCAGTTTGCGAATTGATTTTAGAGGTAGGAAATCTGGGTCACATTGAAATAGACAGGGCAGAAGTTTGTTAACTGAGTACAAGATTTTTGTCTGTTTAGACTGGCTTTTGATTCTGCAATAATGAACTCAGGGTTCAGTGTATTTGATCAAATTCTGTCCTCTTTTTCATTCATGGAACTTCATGGAGGGTGGTTGGTTGTTGTTCTGGACTACATTCATTCATAGAAATCCTGTACTTCCTTATGCGGGTATGTAGTCACAGTGTAGTCCATCTCTGTAGAGTGTGCAGAGATGTGTGCCCAGCCCCCCCGATTATGCAGTGTTAGCAGTACAAGCTCGCTGCTCTTTATGGGCTCAGCATACAAATGTCTGTTTAGCCATCTCTGGGTAAGTACCAAGAGAACAAACCTGGGAGAATTATCGCAGATAATTTGAATGTGGGTATGTAGCCTATGTTAGTACATCTGAGTTTCTTTATACTCTTGTAAGATATTTTTGTGAATATACAGTTCATAAAATGGTTCAGACCAATTTTTGATCTAAAGAAAGATTTCTGAAGTTAAAAAAATAATTGATAATACAGCAGTGTTAATGTTACATTTTGTAAGGAGAGCGATAGAGACTTCTGCTGTTTATCCATAGTTCACATAATACAGTGTAAGCTTTATAATCTCCCTTATAGGTGAGAGCAGAGATCACAGGGTCAGCATTAGAGAAGAGAGTAGAGCATTGGTATACAGCATCTCACCTGTGTTCAAGTCTCTTGACCGCCCCTATTTTGTTTGCTATAAAATGTCAGTATTCCATACCCAAAACTTAGAGGATGCATATATTTCTAGGGTTTGTTCTTGCTGATTCAAGAATAGGCATCCTATACAATTCTGTCTAAGAATAGGCAAAGCAAGTACAAGTTCTAGGAGTAATTTTAAATTGCAAGGCTGTTTTTCAGAATGTTTCATCCCTCACTAACAAAGCTGTGAAGTATAAACAACCAATGTATAAATAAAATTGAAATATACTATATTTTTCTTGCATACAACATGCCCTGGAATATAATATACATGTTGATTTTGAAATGCAGAATGGAAAAAAAAATCTTTCCTTATCCTAACTGAGTAGCAGCAGCTAGGGAGCCAGACCAGCTCATTGTTCTACTGCTTCCAGATCGCTGCAGATTTTACTTTTGGTTTTACCTGGAAGGGGTAGAACCTTCTCTTAGCATATTTCTTGCACAGAAATGCATTGGTTTTTGAGAAATGGTATAGATTGAATGTGAGAAAATATGGAATATTCACATCTGTGTAGTGAATGTGAAGCGGAGCTCATTTAATGTTAAAACAGCATCAAAGGCATTTTGTTTGAGCTTGATGAACTAAGCTAATAATAAATGTGACAAACTCAGCAAAATCTGGAATCATATTGTTAAATACTTTCTGTGGTTAAACAATCCTTGATGCAAAGAGAAGCTTTTTAGTGATTGTTTTCATTGGACTAATGAGGTAGTGCCTAGTCGTGTGAGATGCTGATTGCTATTTGAACTCAAATGAGAGTTGAGTGTTCTGCAAAATCAGATTCTTACTCCTCATGGTTTTCTGCACATTTTGGGCATTATGTAATCCATTGTTCTTGAATTAACCACTTTTTTACTTTTTCCCTATAAAAACTGGGCTATGCTTGTGGGTGCCAAGTTTTGTTTCAAAAGTTACTCCCTTTTATGCAAATTAAGACAAACAAGCCATATGGTATATTTCCCTCACTACCAGATTAACTCTGCAGGAACTTGGTTCACTAGTGTAACTTGGTTACATTTGTTTTGTGTGTTTAGGGCAAGGCGATCATCGCTATGTCATTATTGTTTTATGCTTGCTGAAATCTGATGCATCACTTCTCTCCCCTTTTTTTCCTCTCCTCATAAGATAATCATTGGAGAAACTGCAGTGTTTTGTCTACAATTAGCAACAAAAGATTTTGAAAACCAAGAAAAAACAATATTAACTGGAGACTGTTGTTATATAAATCCACTGGTGCGCAGAACCTTCAGATTCCTTGGTATGAGCAAAGTTAATTCTTTCATGTGTCATTAAATGTTAGTGGTCAATATCTTGTAAGATATGAAATGTGGAAAATATTTAAACACCATAAAATACTCCATATATAATCCTGACATAGATGCAATGAGTCTTTTTCCCATGTTTGGACCTGCCATGGCCAGCTACCTTCCCATCTATTTTAGGCTGCCAGTGAAACCATGGGGCTTTTAGGTAAAGAACTGGCTGGCAGCAGTAGCAACTCCAAAGAAAGGAAGAAATTGGTGCAGGGCAAGTGAGGGCAGAGACATGTCCAGCAGCATAGACTGGCTGAACAGGCCCAGCAGAGGCAGGGAGCAAAGAATTATCACTGTACAGCCCCAAGGAATTTTTCACTTGGCCACTCACAGCAAAGCAGATTAGCATGTGGTCTACTAGAGGTCAGTGGATTTATGATTAAATACAGGTTTTAGGTGTGTTGTGAGCCTGGAGCCTTTATCTCTCTAATAATAGAAGGTTCTACATGGGGTGAAAGTCTGGTTTTTCTGATGTTGATAGCAAAACTGTCCTTGACTTCAGTAAAGGCTAGGATTTCACTCCTATGGTGAGAGAGAATCTTTCACTGGAGAAAAATTATCATTAGTATTAGTGATCCATTAATTAGTTCCCAAATGTCTCCGGAAAACTGTAGCAATGGAGGGATGCCCAGTCTGTGCCCTCCTGCTCAGGGCTGTGTCTTATGGAAATAACAGAAGGAATTGAGCCTCAGGCAGGCCAACCTCTCCCTGCCTACTGCAGTGTGCGCATGTAGTGGGAGGAATGGCACAGCTGTGCCATTCTTCACAGTTCGAACACTTCTGAAGCATTGCTGCCTTCCTCCAGAGACTAATTCCAGCTGGTTAGTGACTTTAGACTGACAGTAATGCCAGATTCTAGAAATTAAGGACAGGATTGTTCCTGACATGGATATTTGGGGGTGGGGAGAGGTGATGCTATCCCAAGTTGGGCCTGCATAATCAGTGCCTGCACTTCCTGTCCCCCAGCTCACTTGTTGGCCCCTTGAGGCAAAAAGAAATTGGAAGGTGGAAAGGTATAAGCTGTTCACCCCTCCACTACGGTGGGCTTCACTGTACATTTGGGACAATGAAAGCGGCCAGAGCCAGTCAATTTCCCATTATTTTAGAACAGTGTTAGAAAGGGTCACGTACACAGTCCAGTTTTAACAATTTCTAGCAATGCAAATTTAATTAACTTGCCCATGAAACCAGAGTTCCAGTCTTAGAAATAAGGTGAGGCCACCTCAGAATTCATTCTGAGCTTTTCTGAGTTATCTCAGGGAAAAGCTGGTTTTTTGAACTGAGATGCTTCTACAGTCTTCATATCTGTAGTGCTATAAAGTCATTGATCATTTATCCTCCCAGCACCTGGTGAAGTAGGGAAATGCTGTCCTTTCTATTTATCCACAGAGAGACTTAAATGACTTGCCCACAGTTATACAGGAAACATGGACTAAGCCAGGAACTGAACCCACTTCTGCCAAATCTGAAGTCAGCATCTTAACCACTACCCTTCCCCTGTAGCACCAGCTTCCTTCTCCCTCAGGCCTTAGGAATGTGTATGAAACAATAATACATCTGCTTTTCTTTCGAATGATCGGATAAATGTAGATCCACAAAAATTACACAAGGTCCAATGTCTTTGATATGTGTTTAATAATAAACCCTGGAATGTAAATTGCTCCTCAGATATATAGCTCTTTACCTCCGATATTTGAATATTTTGGGAATCGTGCCATGCATAGAAATGTATTTGATGGTAGACAGATGAAGACAGCTTGTAACAGATATATTAAATAATACATCACTTCATCTTGCTTATGCAGTCGAGGTGAAAGAAAAGAGGTTCTTGTCCAATATACGGAGGGTTCCTAACATGGTTTCAAATTAATTATATTTATTGGGACCAGTCTTTCACAATCTTTGAGCTGGTGTGTTTGGTGAAACACTGACAGAGCCTCTTTGCTGACACTTGCACTTAGAGTACAGGGGGACTACAGCTGAAGCTGGCCTTCCTAAATTCTTTTTGAAGAATTGCTAGCTACCCTAATAGTTTGAAAGGCAAAAGGTCTAGGACACACAGTGGAGTAGACTGTTTGCAAAATAGAAGAGCATATAAATCTCCTGTAAAAGGGGGAGTGTTTGGACTTCATCAAGATGGTGGGAATCAAAACAGCAGGAACCTAACTCTGTTTTCCTCTTTAGGCATTTATGCATTTGGACTGTTTGCAACAGATATCTTCGTAAATGCTGGACAAGTAGTAACAGGGAATCTTGCCCCACATTTTCTTGCACTTTGTAAACCCAACTATACAGCACTTGGATGTAAACAGTACACACAATTCGTCAGTGGGGCACATGCCTGTACTGGAAACCCAGATCTTATAACGAAAGCCAGAAAAACATTTCCATCCAAAGAAGCAGCTCTAAGTGTATATGCAGCAATGTATCTGGCCGTAAGTACATACTACTATTTAATTTCATTATAATTTGAACAGTGATTTGTAAATTAGTAACCTGAAATGTTTTTTGTTTGTTTGCAACTCGAGATAATCATTAAAAATAGGTTACACAGCTGAGATTTTTCCTTCCTCTGAAACTAATGTGTGAGAGATTTTATGAAGTTGGTTTGTAGCCTTTGAGAATTGGTGTCATTAAGTCAAATTGTGGCATGGTTATGTGGATGCAACTCCCATAGTCTTTTAGGATTATGAGAGAGAAACTGAGGTAGGAATAGTTTCCAAGAAGGAAGATATATTTTCAGTTTAATTGTGGTGGTGGGTTTTTTTTTTAAAAGCATTTATGTTGACGCTGGAACAATGAACTAGGCCAGTGTTTAATGAGAACCACACTGAGCCAAAATTTTCTCTTGTGCTGGTGGTAAATCCTGAATAACCCCACTCCACTGAGTTACCCATATCAGCATAGTTGCCTAATCCAGTGGTGTCTGATCTGCTCATTCCAAAAGGCCAGACTTACTATCTTGGAAAGATAAAGGTGCCCATCTGCAGTGTTTGCGAGCAGATTGCCTGTCATGTCCCATTCTCAGGTGATGCAGAGGAGCAAAAAACTTACCTGTAAGCTCTGAGTTTGGCATTTCCTCAGTGTGGAGGAGTCCCTAGCAGGCATAGATTTAGTACCATCGAGTGCTGTGTTTTCTTCCCCTTGCCTCTGGGGAAGGAGCTCTTGTGGCTCATGAAAATAGGGAGCAGCTGATGGATGATGTATCCTGGTCATCCCATTCTAGCTAGTGTCCTCTTGAGAAATCTTGTCATTTGGTGCAAAAAAGGGGAGCCCCAGGCTGTCTGACCTCTACGTGGAATGAAGCAGAGTACCGAATAGCTAACTATTTTCTGTTTTTCATCTTCTCTTAATCTGTCTGCTGGGATTGCTTTCAGAAAAAGGAAACACCCTTTGCTAGGAGTGTCTAGGTTTAGGCAGACCCCGGGGAGCTCTCATCCTGCTCTCCAGGTTTCCACAGATGAGCAGGAAAACTGGAATGGAACAATTCCTTCTCCATCTTCTGAGATGTAGCTGGTGGCAGGAGCAGCTGCAGTAGGGAGGGGACAGCAGGTATTGACCACAGTTCTGGCACCAGAGCTATTGCACAGAAGACAGAGGAAATGATGGAGGGAAGTAGTAACTGGGGTCATTCAAATACCTCAGTCTTAATTCAGAGTGTGTGTTCTTTGTTTTCATAAATACATTTTTATTTTATTGTTAATACAGTTGTTCTTATGGGCCACAGGTTAGAGCCCCTGATTAAATCTATTTTATACTAAGTTCGAAGTAATGATATAAGAGCACCTGGGCAAGAGGGAATAGGATTTTCCTCAATATTTTGTATCTGAAGTACAAAGTAAATGGGTATCTTTTCGTAGCCATTAAGAGCTTTAACAAATAATTTCATGGTTGGTTAAATTATTGCCTTCTAACTAGACAATTTTTTGAATTGGACGTTTATATTTTACAAGCTAATTTGATTTGAGGAATTCTTTAGTTATCTGACACAACTAGTATTTCTCAGTAACATTCCCACCATAAAATATCTTTACGTTCACCAGCTTTAGGGCACTGATGTTCCCGGAGGGACCCACTCTTTGCTTCCATAAGTTATGTTTTATTGCCTTGCTATTTCTAGCACTAAACGCAGCATTTCCACACAATTCCTTGTGATTATAGTGTAATCTAGAAACCGTGATCAACATCAAGGTAAGGGAGTGTTATCTGCAATCAAGTGGTGATGTGAGCCGTGAAATGCTGAACTATAGGAAGAACAACACTTAAGATCATTGTTGTCTCTTGCTGGGGGGATGTATATGAAGCATTTGTTTTCTGATTAATTGACATTCACCTCTAAATTTGGCTCGGGCTATTATGAAAAGATTTAGAATTGTACACTTTAATTGTACTTATTTTTCTTCTCTATCTATAAAACTGCATTTCCACTATTTCCATGACCCACTTAAATTAGAGAAAAAAGAACCAGCTATTCACAGCACTATAAAACGAGAGGAAAAATTCATATGCATACTTTTTTTAAAGCTACAAACATTCTAAATGCTGTCTTTCATCGACATAATTTGATTGTTAGGATTTAGATTCAATTCCCAGCGTACTAGTTGTATAAATTTTCATATTGGAGTTTCTGCCCTTGGTCCAGAACTGAATAATTTAGTAATTCAAGTCCTGGTCCTGGATCTGTGTGAGGGTTGTTTTTTGTTTTTTTTGTTTTTGTTTTTTTAAAGATCCCTTCTCTGTCTATCCCTCTCCTCCCTCCCCCACACCAGGACTGTAAGGAGAACTGCTAGCCCAGACTAAAGGTATTTGAAGTAATTTTGATACAGGCTATTGAACAGTATGGGGATCAGTCAGACAGCAAACGAAACATGATTTAGTTCATGGATTGAGATCTATCTTGTAGTTTGCAATTGTTCCATGTTATCATGACTAATTTGCCTGGTGTATGCCAATATAATTGTTATACTAAAATACTATGAAATGCTGATATGACTTCTTAATGATCCTTTTATAGACTGTATGATATAAAGTGGATTATTGCCATGTAATTCACTGTAAGTTCTGACTGCACTATACATCAGAAAATCTATAAGAAGAAAATAGTCGTTTTTACATTTTAAGCTCCTGTTTCTTCCATCATTTTTTTTCAAAAATCTTGTAATGTACATTGTTAAATCTAGAAATCCACTTTTGTAGGAAGTGCAGTGCATTTATTTTATTTGGGGGCATTGGCTTATGCTGTTGCTGATGTTTTTCAGTATCCATTCTTTGTCAGCTGATCTCCCTCAGGGTTATTCATTGGGGCTGAAACTTCAAGTTGTGGCTGGGTCTTTGTATATGCCCAGCACAGGCTATTGATGCACATAGCTGGCTGTGTACATTACCCAGCTAGCTAGATGGAAGCATTTGTCTCTTGGACAAAAACATGGGTTTTTTGTTATTGCTGTTGTTTGGAGGTTGTTGCTGAATCCCAGTTTTCACTTCCTGCATTTTAACCATCTGGGTGCTAACCAACGTGCTGATTCAGAGACTTGACCCTAACACTGTATAAACTAAACAAAGCAGGATCTGTATGGTTTTACATATCAGCTTATGTAAATCTAACATCTATCTTCTATCTAAGTCTCCTGTATCTTCTTCTCTCTAAGTATATCATAGGACCCATCATATAGTATGGAACATACTGTCTTCTTCTTTTTTTTTTTTTTTGGCT